TCTTCAGTATAATATTTTTAAAATTATCAGCAAATATAGTTGTGGACTGGGTCAAATATTTTACTAATACAGCAAATTGAAATTGCATTGAAATTTTAATGAAAAATTAAGTTTCTAACCTTTCACTGGACCAGCTTTGTCTTCAAAATTGTGACTTTGCAAAACAAAAGACTGTTTTCTTTGTTTTCTTTCACCTACAAGGTGAAACTTTTTATGGAAACAGGCAAATGTGTTAGCTATTTTGCTTCAGAGTAACTGTATTTTCTCACACTATAGAAAGTTGGGTATTACTTGGAGTTAGCAACAAGTGTCAGTTGATACAGTTCAGCAATACTGATCTTTCCAGTTTTGTTTCCAGTCACTTTTTACTTCTGGAATGAGTCTATCTGCAATCTTAAAACTCAAAAGCTTACCGAATTGCAAACCCATTTGCACACATTTCAGTCAGGATTAGCAGTTATTAGCACTACAGTTTTGCTGTGGCAGTATCCCTAAGATTCCTTTCCAAGCAAACTGGTAAATACTTATTGGAAGTATACTTACCATACATCTGTAGGAATGCAAATAATTAATGCTCTTATGCTGTACCACCAGGAGGACAGGTCCTTTATCTTGCATTCGATGTTGTCCTTTCTGTCTTGAGGTTTTCTAGAGGCAATTTTAAAATGCAGTAACTTAATAATTTGCTTGTCTCTAAGATAATAAGTTATGATAATAAATTGTTTACTTCATAGATAATAAGATGTTCAAGGAGCTCTGGACACTGGTTGTGATTACCTGCATTCTTTGGCATGCTGTGCACAGTCATCAAAGAGCTTTCTAGGGAGGCAGATACCATCAATAACGATCGGTGATCTTATATGGCAAGAGGTGCTGTTTTCCACATGAAAACCATATACTGATATTCTAGAGATGACATATTACTTAATTTACCTGTCAGTATGCATACTTTCAAAGTATTAAAAGCAGAGATGACTTATAAAAAGCGGTAGAGCTAAAGGTATATATATTTACGTATTTCTACATAGGTAATATAACAACAAGAATTCTGTAATACGCAGCCAGTGAATTGAAAATCTGCGGTAATGAGTTGTGATGGTTCTCAAAAAAAAAAAAAATTCAACCTTGGCCTACTTTATAGTGAAGAAAAGAACCTTTTAAAATTGGACTTCGCAATATGGTGTAATGCATTTGCTTCACCTACATACTAAAAAGGAAAAAAGATAAGACAATAAAGCAAAAAATGCTCAAACTAAGTTATTCAGGACACTTACATGCATTGTGCTCTTGTTCTCTCTTAAAAAAATGAGATCACTATCTACATAGAGTGAATGTAAACAGAAGGCAATTAAACTTGGTTTGAATTTTTTTTTTTTTTTCATAAGTGAAGATCCTCTATGATATACTTGTTTCCTATGGAGGCAGAGATCTGGCTCCCTTTCCCTTGCTTTTGGGAGCAGTGTGGTGTTAATAGGTCCACTTGTTTCAGAATGTGCTGAGAGAGCTGGAGAGGAGGAAAGTTGATCTGAAGAGCATCACAGAAAGTTGCACTGCTCTCCAGTCTCTGGTGGAAGGGAGTGAGACTGTCCTGGAGGAGAAGCTGTGTGTTCTTAATGCTGGCTGGAGCAGAGTTCGAACCTGGACTGAGGACTGGTGTGAAACCTTGTTGGTAAGTTGCATGTGTGAGAAATATTCAGGGTAGTTCTCCCTCCACACTCTTGGAGCAGTCACGGTTTTCACTTTTCTCACTTTACTGTGAATTTCCATGATGCCTCATGAACTTAAAGAAATGTGGAAAGGATATCTGGTTAACCTGCAGATGAAGAGGTAAGTCATGAGGTGGTATACAATGAGGAAGATGGAAAACTGTTCTGCAAGTTGTTTAGATGTGTTGATAGGCGTTGGTGCCCCACACTTGATAACAGAATCTGGAGTGTGATGAAACTGTGTAAATATCCCAGACAGACAATTAGCTTAGCCTAGTGTGTCTAACCTCATTAGTTGCAGAGAATAAAACTAGGCTGAACTTCTTTTGCCTTTCTCTTTCTCCCGGCTTCGGTGTTAGGGCTCTTATGGATTCTTGTTCTCCTTACACAGTGTGGTGTAATTTCTCTTTTTCATAGAAAATCCAGCATGCACTTAATTCACACATTTGTTTTAGTTTTGTTCTTATCCCCCTTAATGTACCACCACATTATATTTTTAATCTCTTGTACTTATTTACATGTTTATCTTCTTACACCTCTTCTCTGGTAATGTTTTATCACTGTCTCTTTCGCTGCACCAGTAGCATTAGCCTTTTGTGTCTACTTGTTATTTAGCTCTTAACACAATTCTTGTTACCCTTGTACACTTAAGTAATTTTCTAAACTGTCCTAAAAGGGTGCGTCTTCTACTGTACAGAGACTGAGTGGGTTGTGGGGCCTACAAGCATTCAAAAAACTGCTTGTAGTGGCTTACTCATTAACCGGTGGTAGATGATTCTGCTAGATTAAAATGAGGTGAAAAAAACCACCAGGTTATGAAAGCATTTGTTAATTTGAGCTCAGAAGTTGGATCTTATGTTCTATATAACTTCTATAACCTGATGAATTGGTTAATGTAAGTGGAAACCAACAGGAACTAACCCAAAAGGATTGGTTTCCATGAGGCTGCTGTGTGTGCTGCTCTTTATTCAGCCTGAAAATTCAGCCTCTGTGGTGAATAAACAGAGTGGTTTTGTATCCTTGAGACCCAGATGATGGCTATTTAATGGACAATTGATAACTTCCTGGTGGTGTTCAGCTAAGCACTTGTGTCTGTCAGCCTATTGCTCTTTTGGACAGCGCATAAATGCAAGTGTGTGAGTATGCCAGCAGCATCTGTTTGGCTGAAGAAATGAAATACTAAGCATATTATACACTTCAAGTTGCTAATTATGCTAAATGGACATGAAACAGTCTACAACTGCTGCTAGTATCAACCTGATGCTTTCATGTAGTTAAGATGTTTTGGTGTTGTTCAGCTAGTTATGACAATCCACCTTCAGAAGCCCCTGATATGGGCTGAAATTGTGAAAACTTAAGTGTCTACATAGATGGTGAGCCCTGTGCCTCCTGTCCAGCACCTCTTGCAGGTCATACTTTTTGCTTCATAATCCAATTAGTCCAAGGATGCTGTGCAACTAAATACTTCTAAGTTATGTACGTGTCTGGTGATAAGTACTGTCTGTGTGCTTTAAGTTAGATTGTTCTTTTCCTATGTGAAACTGTGTCTTGATAGTGATATAGAGAGTAATCATAGGCTTTCTCTCTTTTCTCTCTCCCTTTGTTTTGTTAGTCTAAAAGATCAAAGCTTATCTATCCTTTTTTTGGGTAAGAATCTTAAACAGAAGGGTAAATCTGATAGCTTTATTTTGTCACACAGAATAACATGTTACTTCTGTCTGTGGCATCTAATGTTACAATTTCTGACTGCATGTGAAAGCAGACCTAATTAACATGTCTACAATTTTGTGACTTTTCTTAAGAGGAAGATATTTTAATGCAATCAGTAAAACATCAAAACTCAACTACTATGATTTGCAGCTTTGGTGTAATCCCTTTCCAATCAAAATACCCCAACAACTTCACATAGTGCATACTGTTGTACCTGCTAGCGCTGGTGAAAAAAAATTGTGAGCTTTTTGGCTGAGTGAACTATTGTGGCTGTAACATCGTAACATAGTATTTATCCTTATTTAGTTGCACAAACTACCTCAGTCACTCCTGTTTCCCTTTCTGTGAATTAGGAACAATAACATCAAGGGGTTTAGAGTGAAAATTGAATTCTTGTAAGTACTGTTGAAGATGAAAGGTATAATCTAATTTTCAGTGTTTCTTTCCAAAGTGTATCCATAACACTCTTTTATTGATCTCGTTTTTACTCATAATGTAGATTCTGGCAGGGTTGTGGGGTTTTTTATTTTTTTATGGGCCATTTTGAGTTTTTTTAGCGGGGAGGGAAGAGGAGGCATGGGGATTTTTTTGTAAATTTTTTTAAGTTTCTCATATTGAAACTCTTTTTTTTTTTTTTTCATCTTTTCCCAGAATCATCAGAGCCAGCTGGAAATTTTTGATGAAAATGTTGCCCACATAAGTACTTGGTTGTATCAGGCTGAAGCCTTGCTGGATGAGATTGAGAAAAAGTCAGCTAGCAAAAAGGAAGAAACTGTGAAGGTAGGAAATATTACCATCAACTGTCAAAATGTTACCAATCAACTTCTGGATTCTAAATGATGTTGTCAGGTTGCCTTACTTTTTATTTTTAAATGTTTCTTTCCTTGCCTTGCCATAACAATTTTCATTTTATTTCACTTTTTAGCGCTTAGCATCTGAATTAGATGACGTTAGCCTTCGAGTGGATAATGTACGTGATCAGGCTATCATCCTAATGAATGGTCGGGGGGTGTCGTGCCATGAACTTGTTGAACCCAAACTGGCAGAACTGAACCGTAACTTTGAGAAGGTCTCTCAGCACATCAAAAGTGCCAAGGTGAGGATGAACGAGCCCCAGAACATGCTTGGGAGTTCTATGCCAAAATGATGTCAACTAGCTATAGTGGATAGATCATTATTTATTGGAACAGCACTTTGCTGGTTTTGGTTCTCTTCTAAGTGTAGATATTTATATGTGAAAAATAGACAGACTGATTTTTAAACCGACTACATTTTTACCTTAGTAGCAGGTGATGACTTGAGTTGCATGGGAGATGCAGAGATTGGATGTGGCCCTTAGTGCCATGATATAGTAATTGGAGTTGGATCAGGGGTTGGACTTGATGATCTTGGAGGTCTTTTCCAACCCAATCTATTCTATGATTCTATGAAAATTTACAAACAACTGTTCAGAAAAATGTGTATGTTGCAGTACATATTCATGAGCTGCAGAACAACACCATAAGCTAGTGCAACTGGAAGTTTTTAATTTCTTTAAGACCAAAATGCTCAGATTGAAGTTTGAATGTAGAAACTTGGTAATAACTACCAACGCTGTGTTCAAGCTAACTCTCAGAGTTAGATCAAACAACTCTTACAATTTTTATATCTGCTGATATCTCATGGTCCTGCAAACTGATCATGGAGAATTGTTTTAAATCATTAAGCTGTGTGTGACAGCTCAGACTAAATTTTCAGCTTGAACAAAGATTTATTTTGCTTTGCAGATGCTTCTTGGACAAGAACGACTTCCTGTTGTGTCAGAGCCCCACGAAGTTAAAGTGGCTTTTACAGACCTGGAAAAATTTGAGAGTGACTTACAGAATGTGTTAAAAGTTGTGGAAAAGCATGTGGAATTGAGTGGGGAAGATGATAAGGTTTGTGAGCAATAGAACAATTAAATAATTGTTAACTCCCTTTCTATTTTGTCCCCATGTTACATTGCTGCAGACTTCACAGGGGAATTCCGAGAATCTCCTTAAGGTATGGGTAGAAAATGAAGCGAATTAGTAGGTTGTTGAAAACACTGCAAAATTTTCCAGTACTACTCCTATAGCTGTTGCCTCTTGTCTGGTGTGCTGAGAGTAACTAGTCATACTTGAGTCTGTATTTGTATCGTGGTTTTGTATAATACAGATAATGAACTCTGATTTTTGTTTATATATCTTCTGTCTTCTATTCAAAGCAGGTCTTTATAAGGAATCCTTCCCGTATAAGTAATGGGGTTCAAATTTAAACTGGTGGGATATATTGAATCACAGTGCATAGGACATGTCAATGGATGCTTGTGAGATAAGCTGCAAGTAGGAGTCTTTTAATGTGGCTCTATGTTAGAAGTCCAAATAAAAACTTGGAACCAAATTTATCGTCTGGATTCTTATCTAGGCTCTGCTATTCACCCATATAAAACTGTCATACTCTTGTTAGCATCTTGTCCACTCTAGCCTTGTTGCCTACAAAATTGGGTAAAGTCCTGTCAGGTCACTCTATCTGCGCTGTTTTTAAGCACTTCAGATATTATAAACTGATTTGGAAAGCTGAGTATAAGTCTATGAAAAATGCCACGTATACCACAGAAAGCACTTTTTAAGAGACCTCTGTAGAAGGACCTATTGTTATAGGACATAGGCTTCCCTTTGTGGTGTTTTTATATTTGTTAAATTTTTGTTTTCTTGCTGTTCTGCTCTGAGCTTGCTTATTATTGTCAAGGAATGTATAGAACAGGAGAGGAGCTAAAGTCGTAGCACCCTATTGATGTGGCTGCCTGCTGCTGGCTCATTAAATATCCTGCAGTGCATCTCTTTATGAAGTTTATGGAATGAGCAAGCTGGATTTTAGGATATGGTAGTTGTGGAACAAAATCTCTGCTTGAATTTGTTTGGCTCCCACTTGGATAATAAACCAACAGTTTGCTAGCATTTCTGTTGATGTCTCAGCAGATAATGCTTCTAAAATTAATTTCTGTGGATAATAGAGATTTGTGTAATTTCAGCTGGATCAAGAAAGAGCTCAGATTGAAGAAGTCTTGCAGAGAGGAGGGCAGTTGCTACAGCAGCCCATGGAGGACCATAAGAGAGAGAAGATCCGCATACAGCTGTTGCTTTTGCAGAAAAAGTACAAGAGTGTGCAGGTACAGTTATGATAGTTACTGTAGCTCATTTATGCAGTTTTCCCTTTGATATCCCACTTACAACCATATTTTATTGTATTTATCTATATTTTGCAACTTACAACTTTTTTAGCATGTAAAATTCTCTAGGGGAGAGTTAAATGTGTGTACACACAATCTGACTCTCTGAATCTTTGCAGTTCCAAAATATGAATTTTGTCATCCCTAAGTTTGGCAGGAGTGGTTTTGATTTTTCAAGTCCTTTTCACAGCTTCACAGAGGGCCACCCTATATGCATTTACACATATGGGTGCAGTGAATTATATTTGCTTCGTTTGTCTTTGCTGGCCCTTGAACAGAGGTTTATCTCCACCACCAGGCTGTGTGAAGAGTGACTGCAATAGATACATGTAAAAACCATATTCCTTGGACTCTCAGCTAGAGATGTTTCTGTGAATGAGCCTGTTCCCAAATTCCCTTTGCTTCCTATAGAGGGTGTTAGTGGTAATTATGGACTCCAGTATGTTGTGGTGCTTTCAATGCATGCCATATTAAAAATGTTTTTGTCTAGAACAAAGGGGATCCATATTTTTATACTCCTTTAAGATTACCTGTTTGGACCATATTAGAATTGGTAAGATGAGATGTAGTTCAAAGGCAGGGTATGGCCCTCAGGCTTGCTTTGATTACATGTCTGTGCAGATGAACAGAATATATCTATTAAAAAATAAATTAATACTATTGCATATTTTAGAATTTTCTTCTTCAGATGAATCCTACAGGTGTTTTTGTTTTTTGAATAAGTAAGACCTATTCTGTTCACTACTTCTTTCTTTTTGTATCATATTTTCCTAATACATTGGATTGTAGGAGTACAGGTCATTTCAAAGGAAGCAGGTGGTGGAACTCTCTCCGGTGTTTTCACAGTATAAAAAGGAACATGACAATCTAATGAAGTGGCTGGATGAGGCTGAGGGTCGTCTGCCACAGGGTGTGGAAGATGAACAAAAACTACAGGTAAAGAAGACTTTTATTTCTTAGAGCAAATAGTGAATGCTATGTATGAGCTTTAGAGATTTATGTGTTAGGGTTTAATGGCTCTTCTTTTGACACCTCTTTGGAAAGAAATGTTTTTTAAATGACAGCATTAATTTTTATTAGGAAATTGTCAGCATATACTGGTTTGGGATTTCTACATAGTTGTCATAGGTCCAAAAGACCCCATCCCTCAGGCCCAAATCTTAGAGCATGATCTGAGCAATAGGCATGATTCAGGACAGTTTCTCTTGCCAGTCTTGATCCGTGGGGATTATATTTAACCCTTTTTGATACCCTGACTCAAACAGCCTTATTTAATGTTGGTTTGGTGCAGGTATGATAAAATCCTCATTTGAGGCTTAAATTCAATGCCTCTGCATCCTGCGGTCAAGGTGTTTTAACCACTCTGATGCCTTTCAGTGCCTAAAGTTCTTAGGGAGTGATATCTACCCTCGTGATTGATATTACTGTACACGATGAAAATGAATAAAACAGACTAAGGTTGAAGTATTTCTGGTAATGTGTGTGTGGGTCTTGAAAAACAATTTCACAACTGACTTACTAGGATGTCTGATAAAATTTACTGCCCAGAAAGTTGTATGTCTTAATTGTTGAGGGTATAAATGCTTTTTTGTTTGTTTGTTTTGCTGTGGTTTTGTGGATATTTTTTTGTGTGTTTTTTGAATTTATTTTTTTATTTCTCCTTTCCGTCCATCAAAACGCTTCTACTGCATGGTAATTACATTAATATTTTAGGCAATAACAGGGAGGAACATTGTGAATCACTAAGTAATTTCTTAGACAAGCTTGGGGGTCTAGGCAGTCTGTCAAGTACTTCTCAGTTTCTGCATACGAAGCTTCATAATTAACACCTGTCAATATTTTTGACTACTCTCTAACTTTTTAACCTAGCACTAGTTAACTGGGAGGCAGGGGTAAAATGCTCTGGTTCCCTTTGAGACTCACATCACATCATCATTATATGGTGCTCCTCATTCTCAGCTATAATGCTATGTGGCTTCTGCTGCCTGTGATAGATGGTCTGCTCTCCTTGGTCACACAGGCTATTCAGTATCAGCTGTGAAAGTAAACCTTTTAAATCTGCTTCTCTTTAGAAAGACTGTTTCACATTGTAAGCCTCCCGTGTGGAGCTGGGCAGCAAAGGTAGCCCCAGGGTTTAACTGTCTGACATCTGACTGCTTCGTTGGGTCTCCAACAGTCCCTGCTGGTGATGTGAGCTCCTTGGGACCTGAGTAATGTCAGGGAATTTGTTTGAAGGAAATGAGGATCCATGCACATTTAAAGTAAAACATGGTACAGTTTTTCTGTTTGACCATCAGATGCTCTGAGTCAATCAATTACTGAATTGAAATGGGGAAAAAGGTGCACTTGGATGACTCTTTGCTAATGGGAGCAATCCAGTTGTGCCACAGACTGGTCTTTCTTGTCACTCTGAGTCTTACTGCATGTTTACTGATCTTCTCTAAGGGAGATCCTTTGTTTCATATAAAGCTGTTTTCCTTAGGGATATACTGCAACTAATCTCTGGTACTTCTAGATCCATTCTTGGATTACTGAATCTGGTTGCTGAATGCAGAATATCATGTAAATTTGGATGACCATAGCAATTACAATAGACTATTGATGGAGAAACATCCTTGTTCAGAATTAGTTAAATTGTGTAAGAATATCCTTTTTCTTCCAGATGTAGCTTCTGGTCTGGCTGAGTCAGCTAGCTGTCAGAGAGGGACCATGGCAGTTTCCATTACTGCTGTGAAACTTGGAAATGGAAACTGCTGTTTTGCTTTGTGTGCTTGTTTCTCTATTTTTCTGATATTTTACGGGCGTAAGCCAGCCTGTAAAATAAGTTGTCTTATTTTACTTTTATGACTTGCTCTTTCACCTGCTCTGCTAATTGATCTTGATCACCAAAAATGGTATGAGATCATAACACTGTTAGAGGAAGAAATAGTGTTCTTAAATATCATCAACAGTTTAGATAATCCCAGTTGCACCAGAATTTTAGTGGAGGCATCAGACTTGAAAACTGCAGTGCTTGTTGCTCATCTCAGGACTGACAAACACTAAATGAATTTTTTCACCCACATGTGTGCAGGTGACTTAACACCTCACCTTGATGTAAGGAAGGTGCAGTGAGCAGAGAAGAGAGAAAACAGTGATTGAAATGAACAAACAGGGAGGGAAAGGAAGTTTTCAGCTGCCAAGCTGGGGAGTAACACCAATTACGGTTTTATGTAATACATTATTTATTATGTTTTTGTAAATGAGTGTGTAGGAGAGGACTTATTTATGGTGCATCAAAAGGCATATCTATATATTGATTTGCTGGAAGTAGCTGGATCATAAATATTCCTCATCATATGTGCTTTTTGGGATTATGGAGTTAAGTGGCTCTGAAATATTGGTAACCCTTCTGCATAGCAGGTACTTCTAAGTAACCCTTGTTTTGCCACAATCCGTTAGAAAGAAAAACCTGCATTAGAAGTGTGTATCTCCTTGAGGTTCTTCTTTTCTAACCTTGCTTCAGTATTTAAATTGCTCTTGGCTCAGAATGAGGGAAAGGAAAAATTAAACTTCAAATTGCGGAGGTAATTAGTTGACTAAATTTCCGGAGAGATTTTTCCAGGTTTTAGGAAGTTGTTTTGAAGTGAAATGATAATTTAGCAGGTGGCAAGTGAATATGCTGCTGCAGGCACAATGCAGCTTTCTCTATAAAGTGAAACACAGACACCATCTTAGAGGCTCTTCAAGTATTATTCCTGTAATTAAAAAAAAAATTGTTTTTCTTATGTTCTTATTATAGGACTACTTAAATATGAATCGTATTTACTTATATATACTTAGAGCTGGGTTCCCTTAAATATGAACCCTTGTTTGTTGACTGCATTAATTAACACAGAAGAATGAAATAGACATGAGATTTGAGCTTTGGAAAACCTTTTATGAGAAACCTGGCTCTGAAATATTTTGAATGTGAGAAGGGTCAAGAAATGGTTAAAAAGTGTTTCTATTAAAACGAATTTTCTATTTGCAAAGACGATAAATAAAATGAGGTCTAAGATTTGTTTGGCTAATTGGTTAAAATGTTTATATAGTTAAATGTGCAAGGAGGCAAATTCTTTAATTTTATTTCAATTTCTTGGGCAATATTTTCCAAAATTCATTTGGAAGCAAGTCAGAGAATCTCCTTGAATTGAATCTTTGGTACATTTTGTTTCAAAATATTTGAAAGTGTAAAAGGGGAAAGGGGAAGAAAATGCAAAAACTAATTTTGAATTCCAGGTTACACTGGATGCTAAGTATAGGAGGAAACAAATTTTTATTTTACCTCTGAATTAAAATTATTTTTTAGCATTTCTTACTGAGAGGCATTATTTATAAAATGTTCACTAGTAACCCCGTATTTCCTTTCTTCCTGTAGTAGTATTTAAAGAGAGATCAAACTTAATAAATATGTTCTGTCACCACTAAAATTTAAGTAGAACAGGGCTATTAAGTCACTGAGTCAGTTTTCCTCCTAAATAACTTTGATTAACTCTTTTATTTGTGCATGCCTAAGAAAAGCTGAGGGAGGACTGAAGCACCGCTCTTATAAAGACAGTGGGAGGGATTGTTCAGCCTGGAGAAGAGAAGGCTCTGGGAAATTCCTTATAAAAGCCTCCCAGTACCTGCAGGAAAGATGGAGAGGGACTTTTGAAAGGGCATGTGGTGATAAGACAAGGAAGAATGAATTCAAACTAAAGGAGAGTAGGTTTAGGTTAGATACTAGGAAGAAATTCTTCGCTGTTGGGGGTAGTGAGGCACTGGAACAGGCTGCTTAGAGAAGTTGTGGAAGCCCCATCCCTGGAAGCATTCCAGGCCAGGTTGGATGGGGCTCTGAGCAATTTGAGAAACATGTGGAGGAGGAAGATATAGAGAGGTGTTTGCAAACAGCTTTGTCAGTGGGGCTTAATATCTTATTGTTTGGCTGCTGTGTTAGGGATTTTCATATGTTCACCCAGACCAGACAAATTACAAAGTGAAATTCACTGGCTGGAATTTCTCTAAATATAAATTTATTCTTCTTTATACTCTCTTAAGTGTATTCTCAGGTGTTAGTAAATCACACAGTCCATTGTTTCTGTTTTACTTGACTCAAATTCACTAAGTACAGAATGGTGATTTAGAAATTGGTTGAATCGTTCAGTATTTGGAGGTGGGTTTACTTTTTGTTTGATGATTTTAAAGAACTGGGCTGTTTTCAGAGATGGTAATAGAGTCCTGTTTGGCAAGAAACTTTTTCAGCAAAAAAAGTCTTTCAGTCTGCTTCACCTGCCTCTGCTGATCTTGCCAGGCATGGCTTCTTGCAGCAGGCTTCCTAATGCTTCTGATGCAGGCCATCATTTGTGAACCAAGAAAAAGCTGCATTCAATTACTGTTCTTACTCTTATCTGCTAACATGATACTTGACTAGATAGCCTGGTCTTGCAACCAGAGCAGGAAACAATTGCCAAGCTCTTGAGGAGTTAGTGTCTCTTATTCCTGCAAAAAGCATATTGGGGTACTGGTGGCACACTACTTTATTTAAGAAATGACTGGGAAATGTGGTTGGGAATGGTTACTGAAAAGAATATGGAGAGGAAAAAAGTGTATTGATAACTTTTGGGAGTCCTTGATGGTAAAAGAAGCAGACAGTGGATTATAAGCACAGCTAGATACAAGCTCAATCAAGAAGTGTAATTTCTGGAAATGGTAAGGATCAAGGTGAGAGAAACAGCAGTGCCCTTCTCATTCCCCAGAATTTTAACCAAGAATTATACAGGATCATTGTGAAGCATGATATCTTCTGTTTTCTAACTTTTTATGTAAATGTAGAAACTGTCTTCTGCAGGACTTGGAGCTTTCTGAATTTACATAACCTTCTAGAAAGGCCTTTGCTTTGTCTTTTTATTGTAGGAAGGCACTTATTCTGAATATAGTTTACTGAATTAGAATTTTTTCCTAAAATTGCTTGTGGTTTGAAATCTAAAATGGACTTTCATGTTTTCAGGCAACCCCTGTCCATCAGAGGTTAAAAGGCCAGTTTGCCACAGGGGTTAGGACCTTGCCTTTTTCAGCTGAGTACTTGGTTGAAATCAACAAAGTTTTGCTGGCCATGGCTGATGTTGAACTTTTGCTGAATGCACCAGAGCTAAATACTGGCATCTATGAGGATTTTTCATCTCAAGAAGATGCACTGAAGGTACTGCATGCCTAAGCATTATATCTGGAGTGGGGAAGAGAAGAGCAGAAGAAAGACCCCCACCTTAGCAACTGTACAGTTGTATTTCTGTTCTTGCTCCATAAATATATATATGGGATTAAAATGCACTGAAAATTAAAAAACAACATTTCTGTTGACAAATTTTTTTTCTATGCATAATCTGGATACAAAGTGCAGTAGCATGAAAGCTGGATGGAAGGTTGAGGGAACAGGGTTTAACATGTTGGAGATACTTGTTTTTCATCACGTAGTCTACATAACATGTATAGAAATGCTAAAACCACTGTCCTTAACATTCCTGCTTGATCTCCTTAATACAGCTGTTGGTTTTCTGTTGTGTGAAAACAATTGCTCACATAGGAAGAGGGAGAAAGGGAAATTCTTGACTTTTTATGAAACTCTATATGAGGCCACAAGATGATGGTCCCTGTTTTAATTAGCAAAGCATCAATATACATTCAGTTTTAAACTCCCACTTCTTATTGTTAGCCAGTGGATTTACCTGTGTGATGAATGATGAGGAAGTAGTTAAGGATTTGGCCTTTTTCAAAAGGGGATGAAGTATCTTTGAAAATACTGAATCCTGCTGTCACATGTGAGTAAAGAATGTAGAAGTCTGAGTCCCAGTTAGTTCTGAGCCTACAAAAGAGCATGATAGAGATGACCCCTGAAAACATCCATTGGAGTTGCTTATGCAAATAGAGGAATGATGCCAGCCTTTGACAACTGTTTAGATGATGATAATATCATGTCCCTGTTTACTCTGCTTCTTTGCTCCCTTGAGAAAAATTAGGAGTGTTTATTTTAAGATGGGTTTTAAATGCTACGTTTTGGTGCAAGTGTCTCATCTGATTTTGAAGTTTAAGTATATTCTAAGGATGTTTTCAGAAGAAGCAAATGGCAGAGCATAGGATTTTTGGAAGCATTACTCTTTTAAATTCAAAAAGTTAAGTAAATTCCACTGTATGCAGGGACTGTTTGTCCTCTGAATACCAAGGCAGTCTTACAACAGTGTCTGGTTTAAAGGAATTTTCACATCATAGTTCAATGTTATTTGAGATTGATTACCTTAACTTTATCCCTGTCATTTATATCTGAAACCTTTATGCTTTTGCAGTTCTGTGCAGATGAGTGACCACATGAAGCCAAATTAAAAAAATATTTTGTGGTCCATTTTTTTACATGAGGAAGGAGTATGTACAATGTCTTCATGATATGAGCAGATTTGTTTAATATGAAGATACTGCTGTTTTGAGAAATATGGCATGCCCCTTTACCTTAGGGACTAATTTAATATATAAAATATTTCATCCCCTTTGTAAAAAATTGAGAAGGACACATGTTTAAGAAGGTGTAATGAACTGTTCAGTTCAGTTGCTAAAATAGATTTCAACTGTAAACTTCTGATACAGCTGGTCATGGTCTTATTGTAGATGCTGATTTTTGGAACAACATTTTGAAGAGATTGCTTTTTGGTGCGTGTGGCTTTTTTTGTTTCCTGCTGGTGTTGACTTTACTAATACCTTGTGTCACTACTGTGCTTCCAGAACGTAAAAGATATTTTGGATAAACTTGGGGATCAAATTGCAGTCATACATGAGAAGCAGCCTGATGTTATATTAGAAGCATCTGGACCTGAGGCAATACAAATAGGAGATGCACTAACTCAGCTGAATGCGGAATGGGATAGAATTAATAGAATGTACAATGATCGTAAGTGGTAAGTCAAGGATGATTGGTCTCTGTGACCACGTGGTAAGTATTTTATGTACATGTTTATATAAGTGTTTTTCAAATGCACCTTAATGATGAAGATGGATTTGGGAGTAATCAGCTTTAATATTTAGCACTAAAAAATAATTTCTGAAATTATTGAATGTTGAAACTGTTAATGTGCAAATTATAGTTTGAAGATGATTGTTTCTACTTTTTAAATTTTATAAAGTAATGTTTTGTTTTTAAAACATAAAATTTTATTTTTGTAAAGTATCACAAAACAATTCTGGAAGAATAGGGTTGAGTAGGACATTTTATAACAAAGAATATAAAACTGATTTTTGAAGGAGGGAAGGAGTTTGGAAGAATGGGGTCTTTTGCTTTCCACAAATTTCTCCCCACTCCTTACAGAAGATACTCTAAATCAAAAATATCTTACCTGAATCTAGTTTAAAATACCTTATCTAAATTTTAAATGTTTAAAACCAAACTAAATACTACGTAGTCAAACTAGGTAAGGTGTGTTAGATGAGTATTTTAAGTTGGAATTTGTAAAAGTGTGAAAGTATATGTTCAGGAAGTTAGCACTAAGCTAAAGGTACTCACACTGCAAGCAGCAGTAGACACTGAGATTGCTGCTGTGCAAAAAATCCACATTAGTGACTGAAAATTATTCTATTAAATTTAAAATTAAATGCAGAGGCTCATACTATAGTTAATTTTACATTATTTGGTTTTACATTGTTTGGTTTTTAATGGTGATATAAGGTAATGGATGACGTAGAAGTTCTGTAGAGCCTAAAGGTATGCTTAGCCATGTCACATGTTTTCAACCCTTTCTCAGAGCACTGATGTGTGTGTAGGAATATAAAAATCAGTTGGTAGCATTGTCTTAAGTAGAGGCTTGCACAAATTCTGGGCTACTGGATTAGTTAAGGATCAAGATTTCTGTTAACTCAGCAGGCAATGTTATTTCACTGTGTGTTTTTTAATTAGAAATCAGCGATGCCAGCTAGGTACCACTTTCTGTGCTCTCTCTAGGTGGTCACCTGCTATATTTGGAGGCAACTGTTCCAGAATCTGGTGCCCGTCCATATTCATATGCCTGCAGCTATTTTATTGTCCTCATAGACATAGTATGCACTAAGATTTAGTTATGCCTTTTTTTCTACTTATAGCTTACTTGAAAAGCTTTAACTAGTATTTTAATTTTTTAAGTATGAGTACAGTTTCCTTTACTACTCAGATTTGTTTTCATGAAGTAGCCAGGGTTAACCAGAAACCTAGTCTTCTCATTTTAGAAGGTAGGTTTAATGTTTATGAATATCTGGCAAAATGCAACAGATTACCTCTTCACTTACTTCACTGAATACACATTAATCTTGAACTTCATGAAGTTTGTAAAGCTCTTCATCTTAATGAGAATATTATGGGGCTTGATTTTCACGCAAAAAGGGACTACTGTACTAGCAGTTTAGAGAAATGATACACAGCTTCCTGAATGTATAAAAATTCTGAATATGTACTTTGATTAGTGAAGACATTATTAGTCTTAATATTAAAATGCTGTATTTTGCCATTAGTATTTTTATACCCTTTCTGTTATGAAGAACTTTAGCCAAATTTCATCTTGCTTTTCCTAGTAAAAAGTAAAGTGCTAGTAAATGCTTGTGCTAAGTAAAAGCTAGATGAATATCTCATTAGTCATCTTTACCTTTTTTTCCTATTTCTGGAGTGGGTAGAAATTTTGAAATTAGGAGAAATGGCATCTGAATCCTCTGGCAAAAGATTGATTTAGTTAGTTTTCAGAGACAGTAAAGACTGAGTGCCAGCTAAGTAGTTAAACCTTTGATAAAAGCTTTGTAGCCAAGCACAAGTTGAATTCAACTGTACTTAGCTAAGCTTCTAAGTAGTCAGCTAAATCCAGCTGACCACAGTTTGACTTGAACATATGTATAGAGTAAAATGGGTGTGTGTATTGTGTGTGTATGTGTGTATATGCTTTGTTGAACTGCTTGTAACAGTGGTGGTTTGCCGGTTCTGCTCCTTCTGCTAGGGATTTTCCCCCAGTGCTAAAAGTATTGGTGTCTTGCGAATGAGATGTAGTTTGGAAGCAGTGGATTCCTCCCGTGGAGGAGGCAATGAATACCCAAGTCTTGGTGCAATAGTCATAGGATTTGGTACTGTTATCTTTTGGCAAGACAGTCTCTAAGGAAACAGCAGCATGTGCATCTGGCTCAAAACTGGAGTGAAACTTTGTCTCGTTGCTCAAAATACTGATGGAACTGTAGTCTCACATCAAAAATAGAAGGAGTTAAAGCTTTGTATCGCAGTGTTTTCCTCTGACATTTTAAAATTCTGGATTCTGAAAAAGTCATGTGGTCAAAACTCCCTCAAAAACTTTAATTTTTAAGGAAGTAGTAAAACATTCTTTTAATCTAAGTGCTTAGAATATATCTTCTCATTAAATGTGGAATGAGATCTATCATGAGACAATATGTTCAGTTAGACTTGAAATATACCTGAGAAATAAAAGAAGATTGAGATTTGGGGTCAGTCTACAGATGGGTCTAGTATGTTGAATCAAGATTTGTGCAGGAAAGTGAAATGGTAGAACTAGGAGATAAGGTTAGAAAAATTTAGGTAGAGATTTTTAAGATTTCTTTATTGGAATTGGACGATATGAATAATAATAGCAAATAAACCCTGTATGTATCAAGAATGGATGGCTTTTTAAAAATGAGATATAATTTTGATGAAAATAATTGCCCCAGGAACTCTGAGATCATTGAATTTAATTAGTGAAAAAAAAAAGAGATGCAATGGTAGCTCTTTAAATTTTGCTTTTAGATATCTTTGATGTTATGCTGCTAATTTCAGATTGTATCTACATATATGCAATAACCCTGGAGTGTCTACTCTTGCAATTATTTGAGCCAAAAATAATGGGCTGCAAGTGAGATTGTTCATCTGTCACGTTAGAGGGTCCTGTGATTAACAGGAGACCTGGCCTCCTGTGTCTTTAAAAATGACTGTTTTTATTGATTTGGAATAGTTAACAATCAACAAATAGAAAGTGAACCACTCTATTCCTTTCTGGCATGGTTTCCTTGTTTAGCATTCATGCTCTGATTTTGTTAGCTTTTTAACATAAGAGAACTCTCTTTTTGTTAAAAAAACAACTTTCTAGCAGTAATAATTCCACTTGCTCCATGCTACAAAATGTTGCCCTTCAAGTTAAGCTACACATTAATTTGAGGCTGCAAAGTTGATGACAATGAAATTCCTGTTAAATTATTGTGTGATTAAAATGTAAAAGACCCACTTATGCATGGCCACTGGTATGGTTTTATATAATCAAAATCACCTTCACTTAATCAATTCCAGGCACCAGCACCCCATAGCTTATGAAGGAGAAAAAAAAAAAAAAATCTGAGCAATTAATCATACTTCATATTTCTCACTGTCTGATATCTGACACATTTCATGATAAGGAAGAAAAGGGTTCTACAGACCAATTTGATGTAGCTAATCAATCTTTATTTTTTAAGTGATTGAAACAGAAGTTTGCTTAGGACTGCCCTTTTTTCCTTGATTTGGAAGTTAACAACAGTCTCTGCTGTTGGCTTTCACCAGCTACTACTATGCCAGGAAGCCTTCAGTACTGCGACTTGGTTAACCAGGCTGTATGCTAGCCTTTCTGTTCTGCAGGGCAAGTTTCTGCTCAGGGGAGTGGGATTCTTAGCCTCTTCTCCGAAGTGGTTTGGATAACCTTTCACTCCTTTGTTTTTAAACAGTTGCTTTGACAGAGCGATTGAGGCATGGAGGCAGTTCCACTGTGATCTCAATGATCTCTCCCACTGGATAACAGAAGCTGAAGCGTTACTAGCTGATGCCCGTGGTCCGGATGGCAGCCTGGAGCTGCAGACAGCTGGGCTGCATCAGCAGGTATGTGTGATTTGTGCATAAAGCAAGCAAACTGTGAAAAGTTTAGACTTTTGTCTAAAATTGTAGTTTTCTACACAGACATATATATTAGCAGTGAGGCTGTGCAATTACACTTTAAAAAGCGGTAACTCTTGAAATTTCTATTTCAGTTGCAGTTTGAAATTATTCTTGAGGAAGAGCACAACTCCTTGTAGTATGGAGTTTTGTGATCACTCTTAGTATAGATACGTTTGAGATAATTTGATAATTCAAATGTTGGCATAATTTATGTCAGTTTATAAATTTTGTTACAGCTTCAAAAATAATTCAATCAGTTAAAAAATCCAGTATATTATTTCATTTACTTTCATCTCATAATTAAAAAACGGATCCAAATGATGATCATTTATAACTTACCTAACTTTAAATAAATGACTTTGGAAGATACTACCTTATATAAACAATCTAGAAAAAGAGAAGATTCCAATTACAGGAGTCTTATGTTGTATTTTTTCAGACTTTAGTTCTGGAATTTAGTTCTCTGATGTCTTTTTAGTTATTTTACTTCCTTTTAAATAATAATAAGAAAACATAACTTTAAAGATTTATTATTCTTTTAAGAATAATAGTTATTCAAGTGTCAGGTGTGTGTTGTGAAAGAAAAGCAAGTTTCTATCTAAATCACAGCTTGTATTTTGTCCGTGTTGCTGCTTAAAGTTTCCTTCTAGGGCATTTCACTTCTCTTTCTTGAATCATCTTATTCCTAATCAAGTAGCAAATAAATTTTTGCTAACAAGGTAAGATTTTTATAGTGGTTAGGGATATGTGAAGGTTTAATCCTGACATCTTCTGACTTCCTTTAGCTTAATGGATTTTCTGTGGTGTCTGGGACTGTGACAGCACAGCCATGATTATCCTAGCTAAAATACTCTGAAGTTAAAGAAGAAGTTAAGGGTATAGGCTATGAAAAGAACTGGTAAAAAATGTCATACCATCTGTTAACACTACTAGGAAGTATTGTATGTTAAGAGAAAAGAAATCAAACATGAGTGTAGATTTCAACGCTGGTGGTTTAAATGAATTCATGTGATTCTAAGTAGTATTTGGCAGCCTATTCTGTGTCACTTTCTTTTTATGACACTCATAAAATTGAACTAGATTCAACAACATAACATTAATAATTTAAATCAACAGTATCCGATTCTAAGTAAGACGGCTTTAAGTGCCTGTTTTAGTAAAATAATATGCACCCAGAATTCGTCTTGCTTATCATGAACCTCAGATCAAAGTCACTTTAGGTCAGTAATAAAATTTTGTGTGGCTTTTATGTTTCTGACAGGAACTTGAAGAGGGAGTCAGCAGTCATCAGAGCAGTGTTTCAGCATTGAACAGAACTGGGGAAGGGATCATAGAGAAACTGTCTGCTACAGATGGGAGCTTCCTAAAGGATAAACTGGCAGGATTGAATAGACGCTGGAAAGCAATCACCACGGAGGTCATGGATAGACAACAGAGGTAATAAGTTAATCAAAAATTTGGATGTCTGACCAGATACAATAAGGAGAGACTCATTTAGAAGACTCTGGGAGAGATAGTGCATTCTATCTCACGCTGTCATTAATCTGAATTTTCCTGACATTCTGGGCTCTGTGTTTTGAACCACCTTTTAGAACAAATTTCTTGTACATGCACCTGCAGTTAACTCCTTAGTGAATCTGTGTTTAATACAACGCACAAAACGGCAACCACAAAACTTTTCTTACTGTTTTTGTTTGTTTTAAAAATAATTTCATTATAAATCCAGACCTTTTATGAAGAATTTCTCAGCTACTTTCTCTGCCTGAAGCTGAACTGTATGTTACCTTGATTTCTATTTTAGCATTGACAGAGATAGACTAATTGAAACAACTTGTGTTCTTGAATTTCCACAGTTATATAAAGCAAGATCTTTATGTAATTACATGTTTTTAACATCTCATCATACCTTTAGAATTTAATAAGATCTTCTTTAATTGTTTAGTTTCGGATGTTTCATTAAAGCTTTGTGTGATTTAGTGAAAGTATTATATATGTCCCTAAAACCTCCAAGGGAAAAATTCAGTGATCCTGTAGTGGTTTACAGTGATTAGGCCTGAAGGTGTTGCCATTGCTATTACTTACATTTAATGTCTTCTGCAGTCTTTTAAAAGTCTGTTTTGTTAATTTGGAACTGAAATTTGTCTGTCTTTAAGGTGATATTACTAATTTGCAAGTATCATTTTAATGATGATGATGGAATCTTCTGGTAGTAAAAATGAATCCTTTAAAATGCTCCGAGCATTGACTGTGGCATCACAAGTCATGTAGGACTGATGTGCTGTATTCACTGCGGAAATGCATGTGGGCTTTTTGTTTTGCTTTTTAAGGCTAAAAGGAGAGAATCAGCAGCTGATAGAGTACAGAAAGAAGCTTGATGAGCTGCGTTACTGGTTGGAAAATGTAGAAAATGCTCTGGACACAAGATTTACATTCAACCATGGAGAAAACTTGCAAGAATTGAAGGCAAGATTCATTAGTGTGTATATGTGTATACACCTGTATGTCTTGTGCAAAGCATCAGGACGTGGTTTTTGGGGAGGGGAATTTTCACATTGTAAATAGCCAAAGAAATATTATGGTTCTGTGAGACAGTTTTATGAGATTACTTACACAGGCAAGGTGCCTCTCGGAATGAAGTCGGGTTGAGTTGGTGACTGTGTTATCTAGCCAGAAGATGGTGTCTTTGTATGAGAAAATGAGAAATAGATACGCTACTGATAAAATTTAGCAAGTAGAATTTCATGGGAGATGATGCCTCCATGTCAACTTTATAACTATCAAAACTTAGAGCAAAAAGCTGATAACCTTAAATGGTGAGTAAACACCATTGTCCCATTTACTGAGCAGTTTTAATGCTTTTTTTACATGTGTAAGATTTTATTTAGCCTGCTGTTTAAACTGTCAAGGCTTTGGTCTTTTCAAATGAGTTGTGTGCTTATGTATGTATTTTTCTTGTTTGTTTTCTGTCTGGCTTTGACAGCAAAACATCTTTGGTTTGTAGGATGTGCCAAAGAGAATGTTTCTGAAATTGTAGAAGAATGGGGGGAGTACCCAGTCCAATTAACCTGCTTGCTCATTTCTTAAAAATCAGCAATTTATCAAAAGGCAAGAAATCAACGAAGACAAAACCCAAACAACCTCTGTTAGACCAAATCTAGGTGGGAAGGCTTGAACAAGTATATTGAACAACGCAAAGTAGTTGCAGTTGCTTGCCTAAACAAATTGATGTCAGTTGAGTGTTTACCTTCTGACTATCATCAAAGTGTATTTTGTCTTAACCTTCTGTCTTAATATAAATGCCTGAAGTGAAGGGTAGAACTGGAATAAGGGGAGAAAGGGTAGAACTTGCGAGGGAAACACTGCTAGAGCACGTTATTAAGTTTGGCCCTGTGTGAGCAAGAGTGTTTTCAATTTTGGTTATGTACATGAATGAAAAGTTTTAAGTTGGCAACAGAACAGGTGCTGAGCAAGGTTGCTGGTCTTGTTTTGTCTAGTCAAATAAAGAACAATAAGAAGGGATATGATGATGAGAATAACGAAATGTAGGGAAGATGAGCTATTATTAAAGGATGATATTAGGGAAATGGCAATAACTGATGTTAACTGATCAGTCAGGAATAAATACAGATGAGAATGAGAAGAGTTCTAAGTAGAGCTTCTGAAGCAGTGTCCAATTGAAAAGATTGTAACATGTTTTAAGGAAATAATCCTTTTAAGGTAGATAGACCCTTGAAAATTTAGGGAAGACACTGCTTGGTATAGTGCTTATTGTAGAAGAGTACTCTTTTCAGTGATCTCCCATCCAGGCCTGTGTTCCTGTCGCTTTGCTGTGCCCACCTCCACAATAATTGTGTAACAGGTTAGTTCAAATATTGGAGTGTAAAAATATGATGTACTTGCTATTGTAATTTTTTTATTCTAGTGTTTCAGAAACAAAATTTGATACCTACTCCACAGTGCTTCTGGTCTGTGGCCAAATGATAGTACAGTTGATTTAAAGTCAGTAGGAATACAGGCATAGCTTTTTGGTTTTTTGCACATTCTGACCTGCACTTCATGTTAAAAAACAAAGCAAGCTGTGGATGATTGATCAAAATGACGTCCTAAGGTTATGTTTAGTTTTAAATATCTTTAGAGTATACTTTAAAAGTCTAGTACCATGTACTTGTATTATGCATGTTAGATGTAGCACTGTAGTGTTTTGTGTTTTGGGTTTCTTTTTTTTTTTTAATGAATGCAGGCGACAAGTTTGATTGACAGTGTGTTGCCTTTTGGATACAAGTGGTATGTCCAGAGCTGCTCAGTCTTGTGAGATGAGAATTAGTGTGCTTGATGTGAGGCTGTACATTGTGAAGGTTTTGCAAGTTTTTCCAGTAGCAATAAATGTTGGTATTTGAATAGATGTTTTAATAATTCCTAGATCAAGCATAGAAACCAAAATAGAAGCTTTTCTGGTGCATATTTCCAGGAAAATGTCTAAATATTTGAGTTAAAAGGAAGCTTCCCCCTTCCTTTACTTAAACATATATGCATTTTGCTTTAGTCTAAAACTCTTCTGTCCCTTCTAGGTCTTAAGTGAAGAGATGGAAGCACAGGGTGACAAACTGGAATGGCTGAACAGAACTGAACCTGAAGTGCTTTTGGATAAAAATGTTGATCTTCAGGAAAAAGACAAACTTTCTGGTTGCCTGCAGTCCCTCAATGTGAGGTGGAACAAGGTGTGCATTTCTTGAGCACAGGGTACCTGAAGCTGAAAGGAGAGTGGTATATTTGGAATGATTATTTGCCTTATCATGTATCTGTAGCATGTACATAAAATGACTTAGAAGCCGCACGAGCAGGAAATATACCCCAAATAATTTCTACATGAAAATACTGGTGGGCATTTTTCCATCGGTTTGAGTTTTAGTTAGCTTGGGGTTTTTTGTAGATTTTTTTAAATTTCTTTTGTATTGGCTTTCTCTTAAAAGATTAATGAAAAGTATTTATCAGCTGGATCAAAAATGTTTTGCTTATTTGAGTCAAACAGTAGTGTATTAAAATTGAGAGTAACAATAAATCTTTGCTGTATAAGAAAAGGGAATGCTTGCAGCAGTTAAGAGAAAAACAAATCAAACTGTGGTAAAGCTTAGTGAAAAAATCTTATCAAGTGTGTCTGGGATTTTTCTTGAGTAAAACTACTGTAAATTAGAAACTCCTGTGTTCAATCTCATTGGCAAGTATATGACAAAGAACTCACTGATTAGGATAAAACGATTTTTTTCAAGCAGAGCATGGAGATCCAAATGAAAAAGAATAGGATTATTTGAGATTATTTTACAGATCGTGGAGGTAAGAATTTGTTAGGGAAGGGGCTTTCTGATAGGTCAGGGAAAGAAAAAAAGATGTGCTTTTTACAAACTCAGGCATGAAAATGGGGATTCCCCAACTGCTTTTTATATTAAATTTGCATCACTACCTTTTAAAAATGTTTAAAAAGCAATCAGTCACATTTGTCTTCACTACAATGCAGTTTAGTTGTAAAATTTTTTCCTTTTTAAATTAATTCCCTATTTCTCTACTTTCATGTGACTGACTAAAAATCATGCTTTGTGTATATTTTCTTCAAAGTATATTCAAATGAGTCATAGTTTTGGTGCTTAGACAGAAAAAAATATGTGAACAACCTGTCTATAACAATTAATTTGTTTATTTTCAATATATAGGTATGACACTGGGATGCACTGAAAAAAACACACTTTAGTACCTCTTGGCGTTTTTTTTTTTTTTTTTTTAGAATACTTTAAATACAATTGAAATACATCTGAGGCATGCCATTCTAACAGGCATGGTGTAGAATAGTTTGTTTTCCAAAAAGAGATTACTTTTTCTGTTAATATAGGTTGTGTTACTGTTTTTGTTTCTCTCTGCTGGGCTGTAGGTGCTCAGAGAAGTGCCTGACAGAGTGAGAGAACTTGAGGCATTTGTTGGGCAGTCTCGTCTTGTTACACAGACAAAATCTTCTGGTGAGTGATCAGTCCTTCTGCTCTGCGTAATTATATTGAGTTTATTCCTGTTTGTAGTCAAAAATAAACAAAAAACCTCTTCTCTGTGGACTTAGACAAGTGTAAGTAAGACATGTTGTAGAACTGCGCTCTGCTGGGGGCTACCTTCACGCTATTACGAGAGAGAGGGAATGTTTGGGTAGGGAAAAAAAATCATTCTACTGTTCATGATTGGGGAAGTCTTTTGGAGTTCCTACAAGAGTTTTGAAGTGGAGAAATGTTTTAGTAAAACTTAGTCCTCCTCATAAGGAGCTAGTGTACTAGGTACGGAGTAAAAACCCAAAATAACTTTGCTTGTGACAGCCTGGTTTCCTGTGGATTTGTGGTCATGCCTTTTACTAATTAAGATCCACTAGGAGCTTTCCATACAGCTAATTATTTGCAAAGTATGTCCTGCATGTAGATACTTTGCAGTCGTATAAATAAAGGCCATTCTGCGTCTTTTGGCTCAGTTTGGGACACAGATGTGTCTTTCTCATCTGCTGGATTCCTGAATCTGTTAGGGAAACCTGGCTGAATATATGTTCTTGCATCAGACACTGACACTGGCAATATTTTCAAGTTGTTAAATGCAGTTCAGCAGATACAGATTGTAAACAACATACCCAGATATCCTTTTTAGAAAACTAGGTAGAAAAACCCTTGCCTGAAAGATTATGCAACTTAAACTTCGGTAAATTGGCTCTCTTTTGGTTTTATTTCAGCATCAGTAAACAAAATTAAAGAGGCAAATCAATTTTTGTGTAATCCTTTTAAAACCGTGATTCAGCATGTTTTTCTTTCATACAAGGTGTTTAAGTAAAGCTCCTGTGTTTCATTGTTTGATGTACACATCCAGCTTGATGTAACTTAATGTTTCTTGGAACTGGAACACGACTTCTGGAGCGAACCTTACTGTTCAGCTCATTCCACACTTCTTTGAAGTGTCAGATTAAAAAGGTAGAAAGGATGTGGCTGAACTAGTGGGCATCTGTCCCTTCTTCAGACAGTTGTGTGTTGCCAAATCCATGAAGCACTTACTGAGGAAACTTGACTGACTTGTGGCTGAGTGAATTCTGAACCAAGAGTGACGAAGACCTTTCTGCTGCATAATAGAAAAGTGAGGAAGGCAATTTTAGACATTTATCTTAAAAGTATTGGGGTTTTTGTGCTTAATAAGGGTCAGTTCCCTTTTGTGTCAAAGAGTGTTTAGCTTCATTCTGTTAAATTTAATGTAGTTTTGTCTTTGAAAACAAACAAGATGAAAACTTGTTTGTTTTAAATTCATGCGGAATCATTTGGGTCAGTCTTTGGCATGCAGTAAAAAAAAAAAAAAAGCCTTAAAGGGGCAAAAGGAACTTCTCATTACTTTGTTTCTGTTTGTTAAAGTACAATTTTTGCTGTGCTTTGTCTGTAGATGCTATTGCATGTTAATAGGAGTTACAAAAAGTCGTCGTAATTCCCAGAACTGCATGTGTGGCTGTGACTATTTTTTTTTTTTTCTTTAACAGAACCCCCAAACTCTATTTCAGATATCCAAAAGGTGGTGCTAGCATCTTCTTCGTTGGAAATTCCTGTTCAGACGCAGCAGGCTTTGGAACTTTCTGCACCTGCTGATCTGGACAAAACTAGAAGTGAGCTGGCTGACTGGTTGGTATTGATTGACCAGATGCTCAAGTCAAACATAGTCACTGTGGGAAATACTGAAGAAATCAATCGGACTATTGCACAAATGAAAGTATGTGTTGTTGTGAAGGCTAGTAGAAAATTGTCTCACACTTTAATAGTTTTTACATTAAGTAAAGAAATAAAAAGCAATAACGTGTTTAAAAATGGGAAAAAAACCCACTGACAGCAACGAAACACGTAACCTGAAAGTTAACTTTAAATGCTGTTATTACACTGTATTTCCTGTTAATTCTTGTGTCCCTATGTGAGCTAAGCACTGCTATTTTTTTTGTTTAAAACAAAGAAAATGGAGAATACCTCCTGAAAATGACATCTTTTGTTGATTTTATAGTAACTTGAAGACTTTGGAGCAACTTCATGATTACATGGAGGGTGACCTTTATGATTCACTCTTTATAGGTTTCTAATGAGTTTTGGTGTGCTGTAGTTAGACTAAACTGATTTCCAGAGACATGCTAAAATGATTAAAAGTCGTATCATAAATGCTTATGATGTAAATGTTTGTTTCTGTTGATAGCTCATGCTATGCTGAGCCATGACCAAGGGCAATATTTGTGAGATGTATGCAGCTGTTAAGGTTCATTTTATTTGACTTGATATCAATTAACATGAGTAACTGTAGAGTAGAAGCTGCAGGCTAAACAAGTGCTAAACTGATTTTGTGAGTGTCTAACATAATTTGGAATTTGAAATAATGTGATGTACAGTATCTTTGGAGACACTTTCTTTTAACTGAGTAATATTTGTAATATGGGCTTCTGGCACATACCATAGTGAAAGAGCTATGTTTTTTATACATTATATAGTCTGATTGTTCCTTCCTGTCCTTTTCCTTCTCCACCTTCCCTTCCTTCACTGCTGCCTTTCATATATATAAATGAGGAGAGCTTGGTAGGAGGAAAATAAGTTATGGAAGAGTGAAAAATAGACACTAGAAAATATTGTGCAATGACCGTGATAACTGTGGTTTGTACAGGTTAACCTTCACCTCTGGATTTTCAGTAACTACAATTTAGAATATTTTTGCTTTTTAAAGCAGTGCTATAATACTGTGACAGTTCAGGGTTTACAATAATGATAACACCAGGAATATACTTGTGGAGACACATGTTTTTTTTAATCTACAGATATAATACAGGCTAAGTTAACTTAATTCTACTTTTTAAACTTTAATCATATGCTAAATCTCAACAGGTAACAAATGCAGATATGGACTATCGTCACCCTCAGCTTGATTCTGTTTTTACATTGGCTCAGAATTTGAAAAATAAAACTTCCAGTGCAGACATTAGAACAGAGATCACAGAAAAAAGTAAGTTTCTTTGTATCTTTTTTTCTTAAATTCTTGATTTTTAGCCTAGCTGAAATTGCCTTCCTTTAAAAAAAAAAAAAAAAAAAAAAAAAAAAGGAAAACTTAGCACTTCTGTGGCTTTCACTTAAACAGTTTAATGAAAATTCCTGGAACAAGAGTTGCCACTTGTTTTCTTGATGGGCCATTTTTTCAAGTTCAAAGGTAAATATTTTTGCTGGGATTTCAAAATATCTTGTAAACACTTTGAGAACTTGACAGCTACAGACCCGGGGAGGAGAATTTTATTTATTGAGAAATGGAGCTAATAGTGTACCTTTATTTTTGTTGAGCTTTGAGACACTGGACATTAAAAAAAACATCAGTGTGTTGATTTAGGACAATAGCTTTGTGTGTGTACCTTGAAAATTATTGACTAAGAGCTAGTAGAGATTTTAAGTTACTGTCATTTACTTGAAAACTGAATTTCCAGTTTAAAGGTATTCCCTCCCTTTGAAATGTATTTCACAGGTACTTAAGGAATGAATCATACAACTGTCAAAATTTGAATCTGAGGGACAATCTCTTTTTTGAGCTCTTATGCTTTGCAGGTTACTAAGATTAGAAAATTCATGCAGCAGGGAATACCACAGGAGTAAGCATGGAAAGATGTATCTCCTTATGTTCTCTTCTGCAATGTAGTTTTCCTCTACTTACATCTACGTGAATTTCTCAAGTGTCTGTAAGACTTGATGGAGATGACACGGTTAGATAGAAAGCCCACAGATGGATGGTTTTTCTGGGGGTCTGATGAGATGGCATCTGCTGTCTGAGGTTCACAGGACTACGGACTGGGTGGGGGGCGTAAGATTCAAGGAAGTGACTTAGTTTTGTAGTTACTCAGAACTAGGGGTCAGGTGGAAACTTGAGGGGAGGAGAATAATAACCATGGGAGTTGTTCAACAAGGGGACATCTCGTCAGACACAAAACATTCTTAGTTCTTTGGAAAAGCTGAACAAGAAACAAAGGTTAAACACTAAGTAGAATATACCATCATCTGTGAAATATAACAGACTTCTGTGAGTCTGCTGTATGTTGTTAGATAAGTTTAATTTCTCAAACAGTGAGAACAGAGACAAGTTTCCTTCTCTAGAACTTCCCTCCCAATTGCTGCATGGTCACTGGGAATTGAAAACACAGTCTCATTTGGAATTCTTTCCAGTCTTTTCTGCCTTTGATGTCAGAATTTTACCCTTGCCAACTTTTTCTATCAACTTACCTATTGAATGCACTCAATCCTGAGACTGGCAAGAATTAAACATTTTTTTTCTTTTTGCTGCAGACTGAAAAAAGGGTAAATACGTCAGCAGTGCAGAATGAAAGGTTAACCTGACCATTAATAAGAAAAAGTATATGAAGAAGTATTCTTTCCATAATAATAATAATATTACGTAAACATAAAATATCTGTCTATTTCAACCAAGTTGCCATTGTGGACAGCTATTTCTCAAGGCTATGTTTTTTTTCCTTCCAGCATTATGAGAAGACCCTAAGCACTTGAGGCTTTTCTCTGCAGTTCATTAGCCAGCACACAGGGTGTTAGTCTTTTTTCCACTCCTGCTGTTTTTTGCTTTTGCTGTTTTGGTGAAACTGCTGATTTCTCCCAGCAGCTGCTGGTTTCTTTTGAACATACTCTTTATCTAATATAGTAACAATTTTTTTAAATGTAAAAATCATACTGTTATTTCTGTTGGGTCACTGAAGCTTTCTTTTAAATTCTTCTTCAGCAGGAGCTACATCATGTCTGAAAATTAATCCAGAAGCTGCCTGTGCATTGAAATTGATGAATTTATATTGCACAGATTATTGCACCAGTAATATTTACTGTGACAAGTGGGCTTTGCTGCCACAGTCTTTGAGAGCTTTGTGAAACTGAACAGAATATTGCTGAATGTATTGAAGAGATTTTCTGAAGCAGATCAAGCATAATGGCATTGTATAATTGCAAAAAGTTTTAAAAAAAATATAAAATCCACTTAAATGGTTTTAACTTAAGCACAACCTTTGACATTTTTACTTTATGGGAAATTGAAGTGAGTTGAGTGTTAAGCATGTTAGTTTTCTCATAAAGTAGCATATTTACTGTTAAGATAAATACTTAGATGTCTTGCATTCTTCCTACCTCTTGTTTCTCTTAGTACAGATATACTCAAGAAATCCATCTTAGATTTTTTTTGGTTTTGCTTTTTTGCATTCATTTTTTTCACACATTCTTTTTTATCACATTCTTTAGTGATATAATTTGTTCCCTGTAACTGTCATGACAGGTAATAGGGAAAACTGTTTCCACCTCTATAGGCTTCCAAGTAATATATTTTTTTTAATGGTCTGTGAGTATTCAGGAAAAAGATATGATGTAATGCATTTCTCTACAAAGACAGATTCACTGCTTTTTGTGATGCACTGTTTTTTGGTTTAGGCCCTTTTGTTGTCTTTTTCACTGCTTGTTTATTAAAGGCTAAAGTGTGTTTATGCATCATCTAATATAACTATTTATTGAGAGTGGAATGGAATATTTGAAGGAAATGGGGTGTGATCAATAAGTTCTCTCTTCTGCTGTGTCATCTACATAAGCCTGTAGAAACCTGTGGTGGAATTAAACTGCCAAAATAGGTTGTTACTGGAGTCTTTCTACCTTGGCCAGAATTGTAGTACCCATGGCACTTGAATGCCTTCAACAGACAGTGGTCTGGAATATTTAATTCAAGGTATCCAGATCCAAACAGTATTTATTTACTTGTTTATTTGGCCTGGTTTAAATTACAGATGCACAAAGAGGACTTGCTGGTCCTATCACCCTAAAATTGTACTCCTTGGAGCCCTGCTGCTGTCATATCTCTGCAGTGCAGCTGCAGCAGATTTGCTTCCCACATGTGTATACTTAAAAAGTAAAATAATGCCTTTGAAATGTTCCAGAAATAATAGTTGTTACCTGTATGCTGACCTGCTTAAACAAGAGGAATCCAAACACATGCATTTTTCATTTGCTTCTGTAAATATGTGAACTACGTGGTGAACCAAAATATTGAATATGTAAACTACTGTATTTGAAAATGATTTATATTATTGCCTTTTGTCCCAGTAATTGTATGTATGGCTACTTGTTCGTTTGCCTCATTTTTTTCATGTTCTGTATTGTCCTGCACAGTGGAGAAGCTGAAGAACCAGTGGGACAATACCCAGCATGGCGTGGAAAGGCGGCAGCAGCAACTGAAGCATATGCTGGTGGACAGCGTGCAGTGGCATGAACAGAGGCAAGAAATGGAGCACCTCATGGAGCAGTGTGAGATCCGTCTGCGCATGCTCCTGCAGGCCCCGAAAGAGGTGCTCGCCAGACAGATTTCAGAGAGCAAAGTAAGACCATTTACGCATTTTTTTTTTCCAGACCAGATTCCTCAGTCTATGTAATGATTGTGGATTCAATTGATGAGTGAATGTACAATGTAGTCATAGCACTGTTTTGGCAATTCTGCCTCTTTTTGAGTATGATATATCCTAAATTGTCTGTATTTTTCAATATATCAGAATATATTAAAGAATCACGTTCTAGTAGGGTGACATGTGCATGTGTGTGTTTGAAAGCTTGGTTGAAATGAGTATAATGCAGCATCAAATAAATGTTACTATGCAAAAAGCTTGAACCCCAGACCAATTAAAGTTTATTGATACAAAATTTACTTCATAGAAATCTATTAACAGTAGTTTAGTAAATCTGGGAATGGACCAAGGTATTCAAAATCATCATGAATTTCACTTCTCATGGGTGTCAAGCATATTCAGTGCTCCTTTTTTTTTTTGATCCCAAACAATTTTCAATGCTTTTTATATCACAGCAAGCATGCTGCGATAAATCCTTAAATCTAGTGTCCTTTGTCCTGCTGGCTCTCAGAAAAAGGGCAGACTGTAGGTGGCACAGTATGAGAACTAAAGAAACAAATCAGCAAGGAGAGGCGTTTATTAGTGCAGTATTTAGAACAGAGCTATAATAAAGTTTAAAAAAGCATGTGGGTATGTGTAGACAGATTCAGAAAAAGACAATGAAGGGGTGCAGCTGGGTATGGAAAGAGGAAGGGGGTATTGTGAGAATTCCTTACCAATTCATAACTATTAGAATAAACAGTGAATTTGAGTGTTTTCCATTGTCTATCTCTACCTGAACAGAGGATTAGAAGAGGACTATTAGGTGTGCTTTGCTCTCTTAAGTGAAAGCAGGCCCATGCCCAAACATATAGTACAGAGGCCAAAAGATGCAACTGGATATTTATATGCAATTTTTTTTTTTCAGTTAGAAATAATCTTGAGTTCATCGTAATGTCAAGGCACATTTTAAGTATCATAACACAAAAGAATGAAATCAAATGCTGCACATTTCATTTATGCCACTTTTAGGTGCCACTTATCATAATTTAAATGTATTCATGATACACAAAATATGAAAATGTTATTGTTTCTGTTGCCAGTAAAATATAGAAGAGGATTTTTCTAACCTTTGGCGGTTCTGGCAAATACAACTTCTCCTCACCTATTAGTGTTTTGATTAGTTAATTATCAAGGCATAATATTGGTAGATTTTCTCTTTAAGATTTTTCTTAAAGTGGAAAAATATGCTCATTTTGCTTAAAAAAAAAAAAAGCCAAAACCAAGAGGCTTATAATATGATGAATGCATATTATGAAAAATACTCTGATTTTTATTTTTATCTGTCTCATTCTGGAATTGCTTTTTAGCTTTTAGTACAGGATTTGCATAGAGGTGACATCACGGTAGCAGCATTCAATGATCTTTCTAATAAATTACTTCGAGAGTATCGTGATGATGACTCAAGGAAAGTGAAGGAAACCACTGACCAAATGAACGCTTGTTGGGTTAATCTGAACCAAAGGTAATTACAATGTTTCACACTGTGTAGCAGTTTGTGTCTTAAATTTTCTTTCTGTGTATACATGTACATTGCGGTCTCTTTTCTGCTCTACTGCAGCATTTAGGGCTACTGTGCGTAATTAGTCAATTATAGTCAAGGTCTTTTGATAGTTGAAGTTCACCATGGAAGACTTCTGAGTGACTTCCCATTTATGTGATTTTTTTTTATTATTTTTTAAAGGGAAAAGAAGGTTTCTCGTGTTTAGTTTCAGGTTTGCCTTTGGCTTTTATTCTTTAAGTGTCTTTGAAGAGTTCCTCTCTTGTTCATTATGTATACTCCATGTATTTGTAGTTTGTTGCTGTCCTTTCTTTTCATAAGGCTGTAAGTATTTAGCTTGATCTTCCAATGCATTAATTCATTAGGACCTTTCATCTAATGGACACTTTCCCTGAATGGGGCTGCACTTTGGCTTCCTGACTGTGGTGCTTCCAGCACTCTTATCTAGAAAACAGTTGAGCTGTCGGAACTGAAACTTAGTTGAAACTTCTTTCTATTCATTCTCTGTTTAAGATGAATCTGTAGATATGTCTTAATGAAAATGAGGTATTTTCCTATGCATAATGTTTTTCCTACAAGGTAATCTAATCTCTGCAGAAATGCTTTTTAGTATTTGATATTGATAGACAATTGACATTGAAAATAGTGTCTGAGTCTGCAGCTTAAGACTATATGCTTTGTGGCTAAAGGGACAGAGGACAAAACTGGTCCTGTTCATGTGGGAATGGGGAAGATGATAGCCAAAGTCTGTATGTGTGTGTGAGTATATGTGCTTGTAAAAGGAGCAGCTACCTTTGTAACGGGATGTCAGTTAATGGAATGAAAATCCTAGGTAGTAAAGGTGCTGAAGTTCATGTTAGCTCTCGAGGAATGAGAGGCACAAAACTTGATAGAATTGTGGAACCGCATAATGCTTTGGATTGGAAGGGACCTTAAAGATCATCCAGTTTTAAACCTTGTGCCATGGACAGAGACACCTTTCACTAGGCCAGGTTGCTCATAGCTCCAATTAGCCTGGCCTTGAACACTTCCTGAGATAGAGCATCCACAGTTTCTCCTATGACAATGCCCCAGCAGTCTCGCAGTAAAGAATTTTTTCCTAATATCTAATCTAAACCTGCCCTGTTGAGTTTAGAGCCATTATTCCTTGTTATATCCCTACATGCCCTTGTAAAAAAGTCCCCCTCCATCTTTCCTGTAGGCCCCCTTCAGGTTGGGAAGGCTGCTATCAGGTCTCCTGAGAGCTTTCTCTTCTCCAGGCTGAACAACTCCAATTCTCTCAGTGTATATTCATAGGAGAAGTGCTCAAGACCTCAGATTATCTTTGTGGCCCTCCTCTGAATCTGTTTCAATGGGTCCATGTCCTTCTTACGAAGGAGTTGAATGCAGTACTCCAAGTGGGGTCTCATAAGAATGGATTGGAGAGGCAGAATCACCTTCCTAACCTGCTGACCACACTCCTTTGTAATCTGGGACACAGTTGGCTTTCTGGGCTACAAGTGCACATTGCTGCCAAGTCTTTCTCCTCAGTACTATTCTGAGTAAGTAGGTAATAAAGGAAGCAGAGTAGAATGTCTTTTTACCCTTCTTTGCAGAAGAATGGTGCTTCTGTCGTGTTTTGGATGTGGCAGCTTGTTTCCTAGTTAATTAGAGGGTGAAGGAAAATAGCTCCTTGTTGGATTAGTATTAACAGTAGACTACAACTCTGTAGTAGTTTCATTCACATTCAGACTTCGCAGTGTTTTGGCATAAACCTGCCCACCACTCAGAGAAGGTGACCAGGAAGAAGAACTCCTGCCTGAAAACCTCTGTTTTTGAATCTGCTTAACGTCTAGAATTGTCTAGCTATTGTGTTTTGCAACTGAAGCTCCTCAATTATCACTGTGGCTGCTGTTTTGCAGTCTGCAGCCTGGGGAAGGTGAATGTCTCTGTTTTTTAACTAGTGCATGAATGTAAAGGAGAACTCTGAGAACCAGTGGGTAGCCAGAATGGGGAGTTGCCCAACAGAACCCTATCTGAGTAGAATTAAAAGGGGGGAAGGTGCAGTGCAAGCACATTTTCAAGAGAATGAAGGCTTTTATACCTGCTTTAAATGCAAGAAATAGGAATAATAGTGACAAGCCTTACTTTTTCTAGCAGATATTGGGTCATAAAGAAGTTGTACATGGAACACACATGGCTTCTAGAAGTGCGTATCTGTATTTATAGAACAATGCTTTAACATACCAGTCTGTTACTGTAATTGGAGGTTGTGGAAGGGGTGCTTAGTAACATTACCTGGAAAAATTGCAGTCCTGAATAGCACAAGAACTTTACCAGGACGACTGTAGCCAGGGCATGTAAAGTTGAAGGAGCTTATTTTAAAACTGTTGGCATTAAGAGATTGAAGCTCCCCAGCTTGACATTGTGTAAATTGGATACTTTGCCCAGTGGCTATTTATGTTCTATTTTTATACTTTAAGGTGAAGCTATAGTCATTCTATGTGTTTGTGCTGCCTTAGTAATGGATTATACTTGCTGTTCTGTCTCAGATGTTAGTTTCTGAATTTCTTTTGATCACATACTTGTATGCATTGCAGATTTTTAGTTTAAATCTGAAAAAAGTAATTGGGTGGAACAGAAACCTGAAACAGAGCCATGGAAACTTAAATAGCAGAGTTACAACTTTCTTTTTCTTGGGCTGTCTTTGCTAATAGAATCTGTTTAGGTTTTCTCCACTACCCCTGTGTTAAGTTAGCTGCATTTGAAAACATTTCTCCAGCTGCTTTTCACATTTATTTCTTGCATCCTGGAAGGACCCTCTGTCTTTTGAGGCTGCACCAATTGTGTTAGAATTATTTGAAAATCTGAGACATCTTTTTATAGCATAGGATAGTTGTTAATCTGAAGCACAGAATTCTCTATTTTTTATTTTATGTTTGAGGCCTTTACTGGAAGGCAGTGGAAGTATTTGTATCTGCTCTGTAAGTGTTGCTTGCTACTGCTATACGTGTCCTCTTTAAAGACATACATGTAATCTCAGAACATTAGTTTTAAATCTGTATGTATTTAGTGAAAGGATTGTTTTTTAGCTTTAATACAGGTACACTACAATATATATGTAATGGGACTGTAATAGGATTTCATTCTTTCTTTGAAGTTCAGCCAAGCGGAAAGTTTGAGAAATTAAGACTTTAGGCTGAAGACAATATTCCTCAATGAATGTTATTATCTGTGAAGTTCTGACTGTCTCAATTCCCATCTAGTGCATCAGTACTTAAACTTAGAGATCTAGGTCACTTAGTGTTTCATCCTTTGGGGCTTTTCTTTTTCTTTGAAGGTCACCTTTATCACCAGTCTGTTCTTTCTGTTATCAATCCTGTTCTTCCACCTTTGGCCTTAACCCCCTGCTAGGGAAGAAAAACCCTGCAGAGGGAGAGGGTTTTGAAGTTAGAGCTCATAACTGCTTTTACTTTGTTTTTCTCACAGTTGCTTGGTGTGCTCTAATTTTATAGCTGGTGCTTGTTATCTTTTCTAGGCAATATCTGTCAAAATATTTGTAATCCCTAGCATGCTATTTATTATTTTTCTCGAGAGTGGCTGAAGCATTCCAGAGCTCCAAGTAAGAGGCAAGAATGAAGGGTTATTGCCTTCCTAGTCCTTTGAGCGTAGCCAAAATTTGGGCAAGCATGAGATTAGGAATGATTCTTAGTGTCTTATTTTGGTTAAAGTATTTATTAACAAGTGACTTAAGCTTTTAAAGTAGGGGTGACCACACAGTCTTTTTGCAAGCTGTCTCTAGAAAATTCAATTGGTTATGCTAATACTTAGGAATGTAAGGCTGGCAGAATTGGGGTTGCATGAGATTTTGTCATGGTCCTTGAAAAAAACCAGCTTTTCCTTGCATCTGTCTTTTCTGATGCACTAGTAAACCAGGATACCTCCTTTGAAATGTCATCCCGAGTGGTGCTAAACACCCACAACTTCTTTTCTAAAAGGAATATTTAAGTTCTGAAATTCACAGTTCAAAACAGAGTGATTCCTTAATACTGCTGAGCAATACTTTTGCCACAGCATGGAAAGGAGGGAAGAAAGTTGAAGTAGGTGGGAGGAGGCAGAAGACACAAGTTTGGGCCTGTCTGGAGAAACATGGAAATATCAAATACTGGGTGTTTTGGCCTTACCTTACTTGGAATTAAAGATTTACCCCTGAAATCTTACAACATGGTTAGTGCTTGATGTGAGAATGAAATTGAACTTTGTTTCTTTAGCAGCAGCATTCTAGCTAATAGCTCTGTTAGGGGTTTCTGTACAGTATGCTGGTGTGGGAAAGCTTGTTCCTTTTGTCTTGATTTTGGGAAAATGAATGCTGCAGAATAACAGCCTCCAATGGATGAAATTTAGTTTGTCATGCTTTAATTAATGTTGCTAATCAGAGCTTTTAAAATTGCTGACTATAATAGTTTTCCCTCGGTTTCATTTCAATGACAAGGGAACAGAACTGTTATGCAGAAGTGTAACGTGATTTTTTTTTTTCTAGAAGTTCATTTTGAAGTTGCTGATCAACAATATAATTAAAACATTTTAAGTTCTCTCATTACATACTAGAAAAATGCACCAACACAAACTTTTGGATGATTGAAAATTTGGGCTATATTCTGCCAGTCTATTTAGATTCAAGTATGTTGAGCATGGCTTGATTGTTACGATGGCAGTGTATTATTCTTTTCATTGGAGTGATAGTGTCAAAAGTTTTGTCTTCTAGCAGATAGAACCAGGTATTTGACTTTTCATCCCTTAGCACTCTTAAGAATTTATGTGACTGTTTCTGCTCATTGTAAAAGAGGAAACAAAAATCCCCCAAACTCTCAGTGCTTCTACTCCATGTGATTTTTGTAGTTGGGAAAAGCATTCACACTTTTCACACATGGGAATAACACTTCTACCATTTGGGGCAGCATAAGTCCATGATGTTAATACTCTAAAAGGAAAATCTAGGTTTTTAATTAATAACTTAGCTCTATGTGTCTTTTTAAAAAGGTCTGCAACTTGTATAACCAGTTCAGAACATCTGTGGGTAGCTACAGATATAAAAGCCAGAGAAACAGTGATATAAATAAAGCAACCTGTACAAATATATATTTACTAGAAATATCTTTCAGATTTCCTTTCAGTAGTTTTGTTATGATGTATGTAATGCTGTATTTTTTGGGGCAATATTCTGACAGTTGTCTTGTTTTCAGAGCTGTTGATAGGCAGAATTTCTTGGAGACAGAGCTGAAGACGGTACAGGCCTCACACAAGGATCTGGAAAGCTTCCTCAAGTGGCTTCAAGAGGCAGAGACAACAGTTAATGTTCTGGCAGATGCATCCCAGCGTGAGAACACTGCTCAGGATAGTGCCTGCATAAGGGAACTCAGAAAGCAGATGCAGGTGAGAAACTAAATAGTGTTGTTATTCGTGCTTTTTCTCAAAGGCAAAAAGGAAAAGCTATCTTCCAGGGTGGGGAAAGCAACCTATTGAAAGATGTTTAAAAAACAGTATTTTAGAAGTCAGATGTATGAAGGAAGCAGATTTTCCTTCCTAAGGTTTGAAGCACATATTTTTGTATACATCAGTGGCACTGAGGGCTCTTAAATGTCCTTGGAGAGTGACTGTTTTCAGAAGGTGCATGCTTGATTAAACCAAGTCATATGGTGTGATTATCCAACCAAACAGTTTAATCTACTTCCCTCCAAGTAAAGCCCTCCTGGGCTGCATTGTCTCCTATTTCTGCCTGCTGCTTTCCGTTTGCTCTTCCAGCAATCCAAGAAGTTGTACTTGGACTGCCTCCTCTCCCTCTCCTAGTGCCCAGCAGCTCTGCAGCTGGCTTTCCTTCTTGTACAGGCCACAGACTTGGAAACCCGAGAAAAATGACTGAGGAGTCTGACACCACTTATTAAATCTTGCACTCTGGGTTTGGAATAATGTCATCTGTGATCTAAGTGGGTTTGAACAGTTTATAATGAAAAATCTTTTTGCTTTTAGTAGTGCTGTTAATCTGAACATATCTAGGCTGAATTTAAATGAAACGAGACTGTTTGAAGTATCTGATAGCAAACTGTTCTTGTTAATCATAGTGAAGAGCACAATGTATTGTGGAAGCTTAGATCTGTTGAAGATGACGTTGCTCACCAATGTTTATATGATTCTTGTCAGTCAGGGAACTCATCTGTAGAGATGTGGTGAAATTCTGAGACTAGTCTGTAGTGGCAACACCTAGAAATTAATGTTATACTTCCTATTGGCACCCCTCCCCCCAGCTACTAATGTAGTGGAGGTGGAAGAGCTAAAACAGGGCATAGGAAGCTAGCAACGGAAGGCAGTGTTGTGTGTAAATAGACTTATTTCCATTACCTTGCACTTTGTCTAGTCAATCACACCAAGATAAAACTGCTGTTTCTTGATTTTTTTTTTTAGTTATTTTGTTGGCTCTATGCAGCTGTGAAGCACTGCGGGTATGGAAGGTTGTTTGCTATTCTTTGTCCTTCAATCTGGTTAAAATTGCCAGAGTTGTGTTGTGTGATGGGGGAGAATTGTTGGGCAAGACTTCCAGCTGTGTGGAGAAGGTCCATATCCTACTCTTGACTGTGCATGTTGTCCTGGTTTATAATCATTGAGAAGGTAGATAAAGATGCTTTGGACATAGCCTCTTATTTTTCAGCATGCCATTACCTGGTATTATCCATATTTTTCTGTGACTCTATGCTTCTACACACTGTGCATGTGAAGCATGATCACTTAACTTAGCTGTGACCTTACATTATATTCTAAGCTTTTTCTAGCTACCCTAGAAAGCATCAAAGGCTGTCATAGCATAATTACTTCCAAAATGAACTTTAACTCCTATCCTACCACCTTAACAGTCTTACTTTAAATATCACTGAAGGCCTTCATACCATGATACTGGCAAACACTCCAAAATCAGTGTTTCTGTTTTTAAATATTTGTTGAATTTCTGAAAACAAAACAAAGCTCTAATGTCTTACTGTACCTTAAAAAATCAAGCCCACTCCCTTGCAAATTCATTTCCTGTTCTTTTCATGTGGAATGGTATAAAATAACAATGGTTATTCTCTTGGTGCTTTTTTGAATATGTAAAGAAGTATTTATTTTAAATGGTTTTAAGAAGAATGCAGGGCTTGTGACTTTCTCTGCTCTGTGTGAAGGTACCTCTGCCCCTGAGGCCTGTGCATCAAGTAAAACTTTACTATGAGTTTAAGATGTGATCAATTCTAGGTAAAAATGCTGGACCTAGATAAAATATGATGAATTTTTTGTTGTTGCTGTTGTTACATGTCATACATTTTTGAAATAGGATCATCTGTTAAACTGGCATCTGTGAATGCATGGGAGGACTATAGTTCATTACATTTTGGGAGGACTATAGTTCATTACATTGTATGCTGGCAGCTCAAGCCACTCTATATGGATTCAGTCATCTGGGAACTGAAGGCTTGTTTTGTGTTCCATTCTGATATCTGAGGCTAGCAACAGTACTATGCAAATAATGCAAACTTTGAGTCTGGTAGCAATTTGTTTTTGAAAAAGAGAAAATCCATAATTGTATCGTAAGTCTTGTCCATTCATAGTCTCAGTATCTAAATGGTTCCACTCAGGTTAATGCCAAAACATTCCGGTCTGCACTGGAAAATGTTTAACAACCACTTGAAAGAGGTTAAAACCTAATTTGAAACAAGGTGCCGAAATTAAACTAGGAAATAGGAGGATGTAGTGCTGGGTCAATGTGGGAAGTCTTGTGCCTACAGATGTGAAGGTGTTCAAAATAATTTGAAAGTTTGGTTTTATTGCAAATAAAAATCAATATGACTAGTGGTGTGCAGTTTGCCTCACTGCTGAATTCAAATTTGTATAATAATTGGGAAGGACAAAAGCAGAAGTGAAAAAAAAAGCAGATGCAAACTGTGGGTTCTGTCTTATACAGAAGAGCCTTGAGCTCTTGCACAGTCGTTTCTGAATGCATTGGTGGTTTTGGACTTGTGCTGCTTCATAAGTTTCCTTAAAATGTGCTTGGTAACAGGATATCAGCTGATAATGCTAGGTTAGAGCTGTTAGGTTAAAGGAACAGACTTGTGGTGGGAGGGAAGAGTAGATGTAAGCCAGGAGCAATGACGTAGAAGGGAATGGTTCAGATGAGTGGTGGAGATGAGGAAGGCAAGTCTGGCAAGGTAGAGAATACAGATGGGAAGATTTCTATATACAGAATAGATTGAAAACTCTCTTTCCTCAAAATGATGTCATCATTGGTGCTGGACAGATCAAGAACAAAACAGAGTGCAGGTGAACAGAGTGGGTTTAAATGGGGTTTACCTGTGGAGTGGTAGAAACATTGATTCAGTCGTAAAAATAAAGATGAAAAGGTTGTCTTAGCAGAATTGGATGGGAAGAGTATTTAAGTGTCCTGTATGCAGAACCTGCACCTTGCATCGATCACACTGGTAGGCGAGTGCCTTAGAAGAGGCAAACCAGTGTATAATGCACTAAGCTCTGCATTATTTTGGATTATATGAACTTGTCAGGATAGCTGTTGCCTCCCTAGTGTGCTGATTGACGTGCTTGAAATGTGTACGTACCTCTTCATGTGGCAAATGCACATTAGATAATATGACTTGTGGTGACTTACCACTTACTGTGTTGATAATGGCCTCCCTGAACCTTTGCTATAGCAGCCCCTCTGATACATGTGTAAAGTAGATTCATCATAGCACCTTTGGAAGCAATAAGGAGTAGATGGCTCTGGTTACACTGCCCTATGATCACACCTAAGGATGTGTTGCCTGTATTGCGTTGTGGGTGTGTCACTGGTAGCAAAACACTTCCATGCTCTTGAGAGTCCTGCTGTCACCCTTAGATGACTTAAATTAGCTCAGTTGGTTAGAGCATGGTGTTAATAACACCATTGTCATGGGTCTGGTACAAACCATGCACTTAGGAAATGGACTCAAAGATCCTTGTGGGTCCCTTCCAACTCAGAATACTTGGTGGTTCTGATAAGAAATAATTCTGCTTTATCATGGGAGAAACATCAAAATTATGTTAGCTCTTTGGATTCAAGGATGATCAGAGAAAGGGATGATAATGCAACTGTATGCTTTTACTTTGTCAAAATCCTATTCTTTCTTGTCTGAAGTCATTCAGGACAATATTTAATTGGAAATGGCTCCTGAAAAACATTGCTTCTTTCTGGTGCAAGTGATAATCCTTTGAGATCCCTTTTACTAAATCAGCCTTAAGAGAGTTTTCATAGAGGTTTCATAGAAAAGAGGTTTAACCCCTGCGTTTTTTCCTTTTGTATTGGGTAATCTAGTTTTGAGAAACGCCTGTGTGATTTATTATTCTTTAATGTATGGCTGATATAATTAGGGCAGGTATCCCTGTGCTCCTCTCTCAAGATTTATAACACAATCTGTTATTCACTCACTCTACAGCTCTGCCAGAGCTGCATTCAGTCTGAGAACGAGAGCATCCTTTTCCAGAGTGAGGGAGCAAATGCTCAGTCTGCTGACAGAAAGCAGCTACTAGGGAAAAACAACTGTTGTGATACACTGGAGCCGTCTTCCTGAAGGAATTCTTTTTTTGTTCCTGCAGCTTTCAGGCTTAAATTAATAACCTTTTTCTGGCTATTTAGTGCACTCCTGAACAGTGGCAGACGCTCGGCTGCTCAACTTCATCTTCCCTCTGCAAAAGCAGAGCTGAGCAGTACCGGTTAGAAGAACCTGTGAAGGCTGTTATTTTTTTTTTTTGCATTTGTTTTTTGGGGTTATTTTTGGAGACAAACTTATGCTATATCAATCTCCTTTGCCTTTGAAACGTATAAAGCCTGTAGCTTGCAAAAGCAGTCCTGGAAGAGAGCATGCTCAGAAAGCTGGCAAATCATTGTCCAGTGACCGGGAGGAAATGATAGTTGCTCTTCATTTATAATGCAAATTCTGAGGTGTCTTCAGAAGTGTGGCAAACTTAAAATGATGGCTGTGGTGAGAACCTCTCTGCAGAAAGTTGTGGTGTTGTTGCATCGTTTACAGAGGATGGCAGTTTCTTCTCCCCGCTACCAGAAGCTTTGTAAGGTAAGAAATGTAAGCCCTAAATCTCGAGTGTGTGTAATGCTAACTCTGTTGTCTTTAGGAGATAAAAAGAAAAGAAAGTAAGCATGGGATGAGTGTCAAAAGTATCTAGGCTATCTAGTGTGTTTTTAAGCCTGCCATGCTCCTGTGTGTGTTTTGTTAAAGAATGCAATAAAAGAAAAAAAACAACCAAGACCCTTCTGTTTGTCGGAGTGATATTTAAAAAAAAAAAAGTGTTCTTTTGCTCACCATGTAAGTGTCTGGAAGCAAACTGTTATGATCAGTGATACGTTTTTTACAAAAATACTACCA